AAAGCTTTTAAAGAGAAATAACTTGCATCAAATAGAGGAAGCCCTAACTTAGATTTTGATATATTACACTTGTATTTCACTTAAAAATTCGCGGAGATATTAATGTTTAAAATCGGGAGCATATTTCTGGATGTGTATGAAATATGCAAATAAACGGGGTATCAAATATTAATCAAGATTTGCCCGACTGAAACATGCACTATTACCAGTAAATAAATGACACTTGACAAATTGTTTGTTATGAAACAAAGTATTTGTTATCTACAAAATACAAGGAAGATTTATTCGTCCGAAATCCGCGTGTGTTTCTATAGCACGAGTACGTTTCCTTATTTCATAAGACCACTGACTGCATCGCGAAGGATCGTCATGGATCGTTCGTTTTCTGAATTAGGGGATGCTGTCACAATGGAATTATGAAGCTCTTCTAACTTTTGCAACGTTCTGAAATCTTGTTAAGAACACTCAATCTTTTTTGCTTTTTCTTAATCTTGGCAAGTTCAGAATAAACTAAGAATGGAACACAATCAAACCATACAACTCCGTAAGACATAACAAGCAACTCCCCAGAGACATCCAACATTTTTGGAACAAAACGTAACAAAATAGAAGCGTTATAATTGATACTGTGATGTGTATTTGCAAAATGCAGTATTATTTCCTTCATTAAAAAATAATATTCATCCTGCTCTAATCGAGAAATGTTCAACTCTGTTTTCAACCCATGAAAAGCATAAAAAATATAGGCTATCTAAGAAAAATTTAAGCGCTTGCCTTGAATGGTCTTTCATGTACCTTTAAGTTTGTATTAAAGACCTATTAAATACTTTACGTTTATATTTCGTAATATAATACGAATTACGTTTATATTTCAGGAAACAATGAGCTTAGATGTAAGATGTCTAAATCTACGCCATATCCCTATACAATCCCTGACGACAATTCGCTGAAATACAAGTTAGCCTGATATGTCATTAAACAAACAAACGCTGGAGTTAATATTTGATATGCCGATTTTCACTAATTTTAGACACATCCCAAATTATGCTCCCGATTTTGAACATTAATATCTCCGTGAATATTTAAGTAAAATACAACTGTAATATATCAAAATCTAAGTTAGTCCTTCGTCTATTTAATGCAAGTTATTTCTGTTTGATAGCTTTACTTGTTTAGAAGTTATTATAAATTAAACCGGAGTACTTTTTTTGGGACACCCGGTAGATTATACACTTATAACAAATAGTGTTACTAAAACAGTGATGGCTTATATTGATCCTCGAATCGATCCTATAGAAATCATTAAATTAAAATACAGTAGATTAATGATCACATTAGTCATTCACATATTGGCCCAAAGTATGGTGTGCATGTAGATGATTTCCAATAAGGGCCAATATCATCTGAACTGCTGCCCCAATCATTAACAGCGCCATCAATTTACCAGCACCATCAATATCACAGTACCACTGATGATATTGATAGTACTGATGATATTGATACCATCAACATCATCAGTACCATCAATATCAACAGTACCATTAATATCGACAGCACCATCATCATCGCTACCATGGTCACTTCTAAAGTCATATTCAGTTTCCATCCAACTTTTAAAAGATCTTACACAGTTCTTCCTAGCTTAGCGTGACCATCTAAACGATTGCATTCTGAAGAAGCTAAAGCATCTGCGTACGTTTTTGTCTTATTCGGAGTCCCCTGGCCTTCTGTTTTATTGTTCCACTATTACATGCGGTTTTAACACACGGTTTCCCTGAAAAAATATCCAGTCTGCGAAGCATCCTTTTCAGACTTAATATGCTCTGCCTGCTTCCTGATTTTTGAAATCATCTTTTCATTGTCATACTGAAATCTGGCTTCGGCATGGGATAAGTCTTTCTTCGTGTCACAGTATGCTCCTCTACGCTCCAAATAGAATGATTCATAAACGTTGTTATAGAATTTGTTTATTTCTGTACGTGGATTTGGAATTCAGCCTAAATTTTTATACTAGCTTCACTTTTGCGGATGATTGAAGATTTGCACTGGTTATGGTGAAGATGAAAGTTGCTGTTCTGGACTTGTATATTGCTAAGCGAAAGTTGAAGCACTCAAAAGCTGCATTGAAACGGGAGAAAGTGGATATCGTAAGAGCAGACATTGTTAGGTCCCTGTGCTCAGATAGCCGTGATGATGCTAGTGACGACGACATCAATGAATGCAATGACAGCGATAATCATTAAGATATTGTGAAACAGCAAATTTGGAATGATGATGACATTGAAGACGATGAAGATAAGGAAGACAATGATGATCCTAACAGTGATAGACAGACATTGAAGAAGAGAATATTTCCTATTTTCTGCCGACCACAAGATCGGGGAGAGTTTGTAGAACTTGGATGGGAAGAGCACGAATTTCTGACTTTGCATGAGATTGATTTAAGAAATATGTGTTGTCCCAAAATTGATAACATAATTATTACATAATTCACAAATCAAATTTTAATGTAACACAGTTTGAAAAAAATCTCAAAGGAGGGCCACAAATTTTTGGGCTGATATTTTAGATGAGTTTGCTTTATAAAAATTTACCAAAATTTTGCTTATAATGAAAGAAACTGGAGATCATTAATCCCTCTGCTGAATAGCGCTTCGTTTCAAGTTGTCGTCCATATGTCATGCATGAGCTCATTCCAAGGCCAACTGCGTAATTATATAATAATTAACCTCCTCCGCATACAAATTGGTGGCAAAAGGCAGAATTATGCAATATTTGATAGAGAAATGAAGGGGGTAACATGCAACTGCGTAATTTCGCCGTTGTTTTCCACCAAGTTGCCTGCGGAGGAGGCAAGTGCATGGTTATGCGTCATCATTGACATATTCGATCTTTCAGGTGAACTTGGAAAATTTGCAGAAGATCAAGGGAGCTTAATACACAACATGGGTTCAAACAAAACATTTTCAGATCTAGTACTTGCTGTTGAATTACAGGTATTGCGCAATTATGTCAATATACTCTCAGTATGAGCAAATACGATAATTTTGTCTTTAAATTGGCCCTTTTATTACAATCAATTTTTTTATTACACTAGATTACAGTTGCTTATGTGCACCATGCAGTCTGCTCTCTGTCCCCGGCATGCACTATAAAATTTTAATTCTGTTTGTACATGTTTTTTTAAAGAGAGGTATTACAAAGTATGGACAAAACGAAATGGATGAATGCTTGACAATCTGTCAAACTGTCTGTCAATTGGCAGAGGAGCGTTTCTCAGAAAATGTACCGTTCATTTTGGGAAAAGCATTTTACGTTATGTCGGGTGTACATAGACAGCGAAACGAGTTTGAGTTGGCTAAAAAATATTTGGATTGGTCGACTGAGGTAAAACTATTTTGCACTCCGCTGGGCACTGGGACTTAATTGAAACAATGCATGTGCAACTAGAATGTCCCCCAGTGTATACAAACTGCCGGCTGTTTACAGATTTGATGCAATGATTTAAAAGTTGAGTAGGAAGAAAGGGAGGCTGGGATACACAATTGTTTGTTGTCGATATATGGCATCGATAAACTCGAATATGACAGTATAAATCTTTTTAGAACTTTATGCAAGTATTTGAATGCAGTGAAACAGGAAACAACAGATATAATCTAGCAGCATTATATGCCCAAAAAGCAGCTCATTGTGGTCTTACATCTGAGGAATATAAACTGGCAGTGGAGAGTTTTGAAGAAGCAATTCGAATGTACAGAACTCATGAAGAAAACGGACCCAAGAAGATTAGAAACATTATTCGAACTTCCAACAGACTAATATTGCTTCATTTGAAAGGATCTCGAAGCAAATTTCCCGAAATAAAGTACGTAAATATGAAACAATAGTGAAACGTTTCGATCACTGGATCGTGACGGAATAGCACCATTGGCATATATTGTTATTCCAAGTGTTAATGTGATATTATGCAACGGGCCATGAACAGTGCCGTAACTACTATGGGTTCGGACCGGGCGAACCCGGGGCCCCCAACCCCAATGGGCCAAATGGGGGCCCCAGGCTCAGGCTGTAGAGCAAAAACGTTGGCCAGGTCCCCTGATATGTCACAATGTCGTTTTCTGACCATCAGAGTTCTGTAAAATCTCTCCCCAAAGTCCGGGAAATGGCATTTCAGAGAGTCTAGATTCAAACATTTTCCGGGTGTGCATGCTCTGGACCCCCTAGAAAACTCGTGCATATACGGCGCTCGACTCGTGCCTTTGGCACTTCTACTAGCATTCGAAAATTTGGAACCGCCCCCCCCCCCTGATATAACGTTACGCCACTGGCCATGAAAGTTATTATTTGACATTATTTTAATCATTATCATATTGTGTAAAGTAATATTTCTTCCGTTATTTATTTTCTCAGTTTAGAGGTTTCAGAAGAAGATATTGCTAAAGCTTCCAAAGTTATAGAAGAAGTGGATAAGTTATTACCTCAATGTCCAAAAAGACACGAATGCACATTTCTTATCCCGAAGGCGGACTTCTTTACTCGAAAAGCCCTGAGTAGAGCATTTTACAATGATGAAGAACAAGGACGAAAACATTTACAAACAGGTGCAGTGATCAGTGTTAAATTCATTATATTTTTAATGTTCTAAAATAATATATCATTAGCACTGCAATCATGATTATGGGCTTATACAGATCCAAAGCTTCGCAATAATCAGTCTTATAATGAACATATACCACATACCACCATAACCATGAAAACACAATGTTAACTGACTTTGAATTGGCACTATAATAGCTGAAATTATATATTTTTGTGAGTTTCTCGTCAGTTTTCTTGAGTTTTCTAATTTTCGTATTCGTGTTTACCAAAGCATCATTCAATTTTTTCAGCCTCGCTTATAACTGGGGCCGGTTGTATAAAAAAGTGATTAAAGTTAACTATGGTTAAGTGCAAATGCCATCCAATAAGAAGCGCCTATTTAAGAGTTAATCACTATTTAACTACAAAATAGTGATTAAAAAAGTGATTAAGAGTTTTATTATAAATTGCCACAATTCGTACAATGTAAACTATTAATTTCAGTGCAAAACGAAACTGTCTATAACAGAGAAAAATAATGAGTTCAAATTAATGTCGTCTGATAGCTTCAACAAAATGTGAAATTCAAACCAAAATTCGTGTTTATAGAATATTGAAAAGGGTCGCCACTAACCAATATATGAACGGGCTTTGTGATTGGTTGATGATACGTTTCTAAAGAACGAGTCATAAACACTGATCACTACTGTTTTATGAATTATCAAGCTAAAAAAACACGATCATTCTAGGTTGGTAGCTATTTATACACTTATTGAACGAGCAAAAATTGTGTCTGAAAAGAACACAAAGTTTACACTTCCAAATAAAGGTCGTAGAACAATCTGATCACTAAGTTTATCTGTTTTTAGAATGCTCTGAAAACCTAAAAATAATATTTTAAAACTATTATACCAAAATATAGGGTAGCCTTCATCGTACAACTTACACTTGCACATGAAATTTACCAATATTAATTATTTTCTCAATTTTTGGTGAGTTTTCATTCTATTGACAAAAACTATAGAAAGAAAAGTACATCTTCTGACCTAATAACATTTTAGTGGCACAACCAGTAGAAACGTACGGTGCGAAATAAGCACTTTTAGCAAAATATGTTAATTACATATATCGAAATTTGACTCGATGATCGTTGGGCACAATTTCACTCAAAAACCAAATGGAAAAAAGCATCATGCAGATCTCAGTATCGCATATTTGTCGGCCATGTTTCAGCGAAAACGTCTTGACTGCATGCTAGTTTCCCGATTGCGACAAGTATATGTGGTTTTGAATGCTTTGAAGTGTGTTGTAGATGGACTGAAGTTATCGAGTGGAAATTTACATACATTGTATCAGACCTAACCAAGAACATGCAGCTGCGAAAAATGCAACTATATAGGTCCCTGGCAGGAACCTGCGGCCCTGCGATTCCGGTGCAATGCTCTAACCAATTGAGCTACAAAGGCCAGTTGTCGAGCTCTAACCACAAGATTTTGTTGGCATCTCTGACTCACTCGATTCAATAATAGTTCTACAACACCCTTCAACTATTATTGAATAAAGTGAGATGCCAACAAAATCTTGATATCTACCCATAACCTAAAACATGGCAGCATATCTTCTCTTTCTATATATATATATAACACGTTCTACTATAGGGTCCAATATTCTATTTAACAGAATTTGAGAGGAAAATGAAAGAAAACACTAAAAAATGCAATGAATACAGCCATGACTGTGGAGAAATTATACATAAATACAATAATTCTGCATGAAAACAAGAATTCCTTTTCAAACATGATAAAAATTGGTTAAAAACATAAGAATAATTGTAAACGTGGACAATGACAGATTTCATGTTTTAATAGGAAAATCACATCAAATGCATGTTAAAAATGACTGGAAATATATTCAGCAAAAACATACACATTTTGCAACAATTTTAGCTTTTCCAAGTTGCAAGATATGACTAAAATGATACTAAATCTCTAAGAAGAAAAAACTGCTAAATAATTTGGGCAAAATTTATTGTTTTTAGCAAAGTGAGTAAAAGGCATGTGAATAAAAGGGAAAAAAAAGAGGAAAATGTTATAGTTCCAAAACATGTCTGGAGGCAGCCACAGTCAGTGAAAATTATATATTATCAAGAACATGCATGCCACCTTCGATACATCGAAAACTCTAAACTATCCAATGCTTCGATATATCGAAAGAATGCCATTTCTTCGATATATCGAAAGAATGCCATTTCTTCAACCTCGTTCCCAGGGCTTTTCCCTTTTTGTCATTGGGAAGGCGGGAAAAGGCCCTGGCAACCGGCCGGTCACATGACTTTCAACACCCAGATATAGTGGGTGTTAGGCTGGATCGATATACCGGATATATCCGATATACCGGTATTTGTTTAGATACCGGTTTGGCGATATTGACAATTTAAAAATACCGACATTTCGGTATTTTGCTGCCTAATACCGAAATGAAACGCTATTTCAAGTCAAACTTGCTTACAATCACGTTTAGAAAGCAAAGTTAATACTCACAGATGCATGATATGCATGAAAACCTTTTCTGGCTTTTCAAGTTTTTTTATCGGGCAGTATAAGAAGGTAACTTTTTGTTGTTTTTAATCTTATTTAACTGACATGCTAACTTGTTTATGTGTTAGTTTTAAAAATGCAACGTTTTTTATGTTTATAACTATTAGCAACTTACTGAAACACTATCTGAATTTATATAGCTACAAAACGAATATTTTTCTGAATGATTCAACACTTCGACGCCCTACTAATAATTGCCGCTTAGCGCTGTTAATTGTTAACATAGCTTGATAATGCGAATCTTGTGACATTTGCACTAATAACAGTATGTGCCACATTAATATTTTGTCAAAACTCGAATTTTATTGACGGTCAGCACTTCAGTTTGGCTTAAAAAAAAACACATTAAAAATACCGGAATACCAGTATTTACCGGTATTCTGATGGCGGTATATCGGTATTCGGTATTTGCGATATCGATCCAGCCTAGTGGGTGTAATAAATTATAATAATAATAAATTAGAAAATCCAAGATGGCCGCCAACCTAAGAGTGCCCACAAAATTTAAGTGCTTAGAGCGGCTTAAAAATGCATTTAGTCTTTGAAATTTTTCCTTCTTTTTGCTACCGACGTACTCGAAATCAGATTCTTCAGCTTTTATTACATGGGAACTATGTAGTTGCTGTTCTTCCAACTGGGTTTGGTAAATATCGTTCGCTAAACAAAATTAACAGATGTTCTCCAGCTGGGCAGGCTTGCCTATAAAGAGGACACGGAAAGTGTTTTGAACTGGGGATGTTAAACTTGGTTTTACCCTTCATAGACTCTGCTGTGCGACGATTGGAGCGAGTTTATGAGGAATATTTTATACAGTGACCATAGTGGAAAGTACGCTTTGGCTGTCGCAGGAGACTGCCGCAGTTGACAAGACCATGTATTCTATCCTGCCGCAATGCCAAAAATATGCTGCCGCAGGTAACAAATTCAAGACTACACGCAATACCGCTGACCACTAAACAGTAAACATTGAAGCCTTCACTCTTAAAAAAGATGTGCTCAGTAAAATCATCACAGCTTTTTTGTCGAATAATGAATACATCTTAAGATGTGTTGATACAACACACCACTGACATGTCACCCAAATTGTGCCGCAGGTATTTTCTAAACTTTTTCTGCCGCACTATCAATTTTACAGTTTTTCTGCCGCAAGATTTTGCCGCATCAGCAATTTTTTACCTTTGCCTGCCGCGGGAGATCTCCCGTTAAAGTGCCCAACTTTCCACTATGGTACAGTGATTCAAAGAAATGTTTTTGCATATACTGTATATGTTATTGATCTATTGTTGAATGTCACTTATATTATAAAGTGCCAATAGTTGGAATATTTATTCATTGATATTTTAAACACAGATGAGTGTTATATGCTCTTTCCTTGTTTACGTTTTCCTTGCAGCCAAATGTTGAAGCTGGCAAGCTGCAAAACTGACATATGAGTGATATGACCCAAATATTGGATATATGCATCTTAGTTTGCTTCCAGTAAAATGTAAACAAGACCTTAAGAATTCTATACGAGATAAGAAATATTCCGTTTAAAATCATGACTGGCAATGTACTCCAGTCTCCAGTAAAGCTTGCTTCACTCCCCTTACAAAAAAAGTCTATAGGCTTGGCCTATAGGCCAACCTATAGGTTCCTATAGGAAACCTATAGATTTTTATAGGCAATTGGAACATTTTCTATAGGTGACCTATAGGGATGCCTATAATCCTATAGAGCTCTATAGGGAATTGGCTTCTATAGGGAATTGGCTTCTATAGGGAATTGGAACATTTCCTATAGGCCAACTATAGACTTTTTTCATAAGGGTGCTTCAATTCTTGCTGTTAACATCTGCACATTATCAGGGTGGAGAGTTGATTTGAATTTTTTGTCCCAGGGGATAAAGGTAGGGAATAGATTTTCCATCACAAAAGGGGCAAGGTGCCCAACCAGTTAGAAGATGGCATGTACTTTAAGTGACCATTCATTATACCCTAGGGTGGGGTGGGAGATTCTTATGTCAAAATGTCATGGGACCCCTTTTTAATCTCTTAATTTAATAATGGAGACTCCTCCTAAATATTTAAGACTATATAACATGATGAAATTCTAATCTTCATTCATGTGAATGCCTGACTATGAAGAAAATACATTTTGCAACACAGGGATGGATCCAGCATGATCTGGTAGGGGGGGGGTGCTCTGCCAGCTCTGGTGCCGAGTTGTGTCGGTCATATGTGCCGCCTGCCCATCAACTTGCTTCACTATTGTAATTGTTGTTCACAGCTCGCTTATCATCATGTTATTACTCAAATTACTGTATCTCATTTTGCCTGTAATAATTTTTTGCTTTATCATGAAAAATATAACCCCCCTGCACCCACTCTGGCCAGGGCTAGGGGAGTGCACAGCACCCCCCCCCCACAGTAAATCCATCCCTGTTGCAACATACACTACAAGAGCTAGAACTCAACAAATCAAGGACCCCCTCCAAGGCAATTTTGCCAGCAAAATAGATTAAATTTGATGGTAATTGTTCTGAGAATATATTAACTCATTGAGTGGCAGCATTCTGCCTAGACTTGCCACAAGTCGACCTCAAACGAAACGCAAGCAGCGAGTGTGAGCCAACGTTTCGTTCGAGGTCGACTTGTGGCAAGTATACATTCTGCCCTTGAGTAAAACTGTCTGGCACCAGACGGAATAATATACTAAAGTAGGGACATTGCCACTATAAAGGGTTAAGTTAAACAAATTTTTAAAAATTTTGCAATGCTCTATATTCAAAAAGCTCAATTTGTAAATTTTAATTGACTTTAATTAAATTAATATAACTACTTATACTTATAGCTACCTTGCCCCAGTCACTTCAAGTGAATTCTATGGGAGGAGGGGGACATTGAAAATCCCTGGGTTTACTTGATAAAAGCAAGAATTGAACCATGCATTACATGTATATGGAGAGCAGTTTTAAATATATTTTATCATGCAAATACCTTGATAATTGTTCTTAAACGTCTTTGGCTTAGAATGGGTACACCCTCCAAAGGTGTTTATTTACAGGGTCCAAAGGTGTAAATATACACTGTCCAAGGTGTTAATATAAACAACAAAAACAATGTATATAATTAAATTTTATTAAATAAAATGTGGAATATTTTACAAATTGCATTACCATCCCAAAGTGTACATAATTTATCAATATAATTAGGACTTAGAAGCTGTTCACATGAGTTTGACTCTGACCCAGCACCCTTGGCTAGCTCCCCTTGCCCGATCACAAGTAGAAAACCTCCAACCCCCTCTGACAAATCAGTCCAGATCTGCCCAAGAGGCATGATTTTCTGGAATATTATTAGCAGTGAAATTGTTGCATATTTTCAAGCATGCATTGTAACCTGATTTTAAAGCCTGTTTGAACATCAGACATTGTGGCAATGGCAAGATGGTCCAGCCACATGAATACAATCTTAAAATATCATAAAAACAATGCAATTTAAGGCCAGACAGCCCAACTCCTGCGAACAGCCCTTTATTACACATTTGAAGCATCTCTTGAGGCATCAAAGTACTGTACATGCAGGCACATGGAATTACATACGAGTATGTGACATAAGCCCACCATTGCACAACTTTGTCTGCAACAATGCAAATACAACAAATGCAAAGACAATCAAGCTGGAAACGGATTTTATCAGTATTTTGATATATACATTATGGCTCGTGTCTAAAGACACCTGCGCTTTCATAATATTGAAATTGTTCTAATATCATCCAAACAAAACACATCAGAAAACTGTAACATCAGCCAAATGAGCAAATCATTTTTTTAACACAATTTATGGTAAAATGAAGCAACATGTAATAGTATCTGAAACAAAACCAAATCACATATTATTCAAAAGTTGTAAACACTGTTGCATAGAGTGTTGTAGCACCTCTCGGTAGATCGACTCTTATTGGTCCATAGGCTTCTGATGCTAAAAATAGAACTTTTATCATAGTTTATAATTGTTACAGTTCTGGACATAAGAATTACTTGAGTACAAGAATCGAAGGCCGTAATGAATGGGAACGCTGGTCGACTGACAAGAACATTTGAACGCACGAAACCGAAGAAGAGCGTTTCCTGATGGCACGTTCTATCGAGTAAAGGGGATCGGACGTATTTCCCGTTGACACGAGGTGAAGGGAGCAGAGGATCATAGTCTCCTCACTGCCACCGGACATAAGGGATCGAGGGGATCGGACGTTTTTCGCTTTTATTAAAAGAGACACGAGGCGAAGGGAGCAGAGGGTCAGAGTCACCTCACGGCCACCAGGGCATAAGGGATCGAGGGGATCGGACGTTTTTCGCTTTTAAAAGAGACACGAGGCGAAGGGAGCAGAGGATCAGAGTCACCTCACGGCCACCAGGGCATAAGGGATCGAAGGGATCGGACGTTTTTCGCTTTTAAATGAGACACGAGGCGAAGGGAGCAGAGGATCAGAGTCACCTCATGGCCACCAGGGCATAAGGGATCGAGGGGATCGGACGTTTTTCGCTTTTAAAAGAGACACGAGGCGAAGGGAGCAGAGGATCAGAGTCACCTCACGGCCACCAGGGCATAAGGGATCGAGGGGATCGAAGGGATCGAGGGGATCGGACGTTTTTCGCTTTTAAAAGAGACACGAGGCGAAGGGAGCAGAGGATCAGAGTCACCTCATGGCCACCAGGGCATAAGGGATCGAAGGGATCGAGGGAATCGGACGTATTTCGCGTTGAAAAAAGACACGAGGTGAAGGGAGCAGAGGAGCAGGGCCACCATACAGATACGGCTACCTGACTGCCACCAGGCATATAGCATAACTCAACATTGCACTCACACTTCTGGCTAATGGAAAACTTTTAAACATTTTTTAGTTATCAGTTAGTCCACAGCGCATCATGTTCTAATTATACATACGAACTGACACCTAATTAACACTTGACAAACTTGCACGATATATATCAAACCACATGACGTCATCAAATCAGAACAACTGACTAAAACAGAACTTCAAGGGTCCAACACTCATTCTTGTACATACATATTGGCGAACAATTACTCGATAAGAATCACAAGGAATTCTGGGAAGTTAATATATTAATCAACTCCAATAGTAGTGGCTGGCCGATTCGGATTACCACCAAACAAATCATTCATTCATTCATTACAAGGTAGTTACATATTAATGTTTTCCTTTGTTTTATTGCTTTTCATCATTTTTTCACTGTTTTATTGTTTTTTATTATATTCACTCTTTCTCCATCACTCCACCCTATGCTATATCCCATCTATTCATAATTTTTTATGAGTCTCATGCAGGTGAGCCATTTAAAAAACTCAAAGCCAATTAAATGGTGGAGTGCAATAAAAATTTAGTTGGCTCTTCTTCAAAAGCCGTTTCTAATTCTGTTGAGGTTGATGGAATCATCTTACAAAGAAGAGGATTAGCGTCCGCAGTTAACAACGTATTTATTGCTGCCACCAAATCATTACCTCCGTTATCCGAATATGAGAAGATACATCTAGTGTTCCCTACGCCATCTCTGACATTACTATTGCATCCCATTTAAAGAAAATCCAATCCAATAAAGCACCTAGCTGGTCCAGATGGCATACTGAACAGGATTCTCAATACGTTTTCCATGGAGCTCTCTGAACCTGTGACAATTATATTCAAGATCTCTATTAAACAGGCACAGGTCCCAAGGCAGTGAAAAGAAGCGGATGTTATTCCAGCCCAAAGACAACCCCAGTAACAGATATATTCTCAGATCTTCGACCTATATCACTAACTGCTACATTGTCAAAAAAATCTTGAGTCGCTCCAATCTCGAAGGATCATGGATACTATTCATTCTATATTGGATCAAAGGCAATTTGGTTCATTAGAAGGATGTTCCACCGTGGATGCGTAATTAGCATGTTCCATTGTTGGTTTTTAGATTCCAATGGCAATGGCGAAACTGTACGTGTTTCCCTATTAGATTTTAGTAAAGCATTTGATAGAATTAACCATCAAATCCTCATAAAAAAGATGCGATTACTTGGCATTGGTAATTCTCCAATTAATTGGGTGATTGACTTCCTCATGCAAAGACGACAGAGGGTGAAGTTAGGGTCTGTGTTATCTGATTGGCAATTTGTAAATGGTGGCGTACCGCAGGGTACAATTCTTGGCCCGCGTCTTTTTTTCTTATCATGGTCAACGACTTAGAAATCACTCACAACAACCGATGGAATTATGTTGGAAACAATCATTAAAGGTAAACAAAGCCATTTACAAACTGTTATCGACGATATTGAAAAATGGTGTACAGAGCATACCTAATTTTAAGAATTTTTTATCACTCCACACTTTTGTGCAAAGTTTAGCCGAGCAGAAGCACGCCCTCAAAATTTCTGAACACACCCACAAGACAGGCTACAATTGATATTCAAAGATCCCAAAATCAACATACACTGCACAGCACCCAGAGTCGCCCTGGGAAATTGGGGGCCCAGGGCAAATTTGAGTTGGTATTCGCGGGTACGAGAGAACGGTGTGGCCCCTTGTGATTCCATCTTCGAAAATGTTGAAATCTCAGGTCAAAGAAATGGCCAGATCCTGCATTCTGGAAGTTTGTTCACAGTTATATCTATATGTTTATTTCACTATAGTTCTTTTTTTGGGTCCCCATTTATTGGGCCCCAGGGCAAATTGCCCCCTCCCTCTGGGCGGCCCTCATAATTACATGCTTGCATGAACGAAATATTTTCGTCTTTGCAAATAAAAGGCGCTTAGATGTGACAAACTCCAGAGGAGTTCCAGGGTCATGCACCCACAAATCTAGAAAACTGTGTAATCTAGTCCCACCAAAAGGGCCTTTTTCTCCAATGTGCGGGGACATTCTATAGAATTCGGAAGATTATATATATGTACTTATTACAAAAAGCAAAGTTATTTAGTATCATTCACTCCAACTTCCAAGCTCATAAAGAGATCTTTGATGGGAGACTTTGTTCATTTGATGAACCTTAAGTATAATATTAGTGCGGACGTTCGATAATTTGGCAGTTATCATTTCGATTTAATTTCATTCAAATTATTCTCATTCAAAATGTTTTGATTAATACTGTCAAGTGACAAGACGAATTTTTAGTTTAGTTTTTCTGTTCATTTTTTGCCCCATTTTCTCCTTACTTAACAATTTGTCACAGCAAATTTTGTCATTGCACATTTTACATTTTATCACTGCACGCTTTACTTTTATCACTGCACAAAATGGTTATCACTGCACACTAAAATTAGGTATGGTACAGAGAATGATCTGGTACTTAACCACGCCAAATGTAAGGAGTTGATCATTTCGTTTGCTAAAGATAGACCGAACTTTCGTCCATTGTTTGTTGGAGAACATTGTATTTCCCGGGTTTCGTCAGCAAAAGTCCTTGGTCTTAAATTATTTTCTCGTCTGATCTTTATTGGAACTTGCATATTGAATACATCGCAGCAAAAGCATCAAAGATAAATTTCATCACAGCTTGAAAGAGCATCACAAAATTAGTAATATTCCGAAGTTTCGTTGCGAAATGTTGTAAAATGCGGATAATATAGCCTTGCGAAGTTTGCAATTTTCAGTCATTTTAGATTACAAACGGGAAATTGATACCCAAACACCCGATTTGGGTATCAAGTTCCCGTTTGTAATCTAAAATGACTGAAAATTGCAAACTTCGCAGGGCTATATTATCCGCATTTTACAACATTTCGCAACGAAACTTTAGAATATTACTAATTTTGTGATGCTCTTTCGAGCTGTGATGAAATTTTTGTCTAGACTTGTCTAGATCAAAATTTTAGTTATAAGGTTAAAGAATAAAGGTCCAATCCATGTCAATTTAATTGACTGTAATTGTGTAAAATTAATAACTTTCAAAACTCATTTTTATATTTTTACCTTGAAGTATTTTTATTAGCTTATAATGACTCATCTTAATTATTTAGACGTTTTAGCGATATTTAAAATTTGTATGGTCGTAACATATGGTATTTTTTATGTATAGTATATGTTATTAAGAGTCCTTTTTACTATGTTCTGAAATATTGCATGTAATTAATTCAGTATATTTCAGCTTTTAGCTGCCACTCAGATTAACATTTAATTAAAATTCAAACAAAAGAATTATAATAATGATATTGACATAGTTTGCATCACTGAGACTTGGTTTAAGGAAACTGTTCCCGACGAAGCTGTATAAACTTGTTCCGGAATGACATTGGTTAGAAATGATAGAACGTATGGTACAGGAGAGGGAGTTGCTCTATATGTGAATAGTAAAATACCATTTAAAATTCGCAAGGACTTGAATGATCCCTCGTTTGAGTGTCAGTGGGTCACGTTACGTCCAAAATGGTTACCGAGAGTAATATCCAAAATTTCGGTATGCTGTTTTTAAGCCATTATACCTTTATAATTGTTACGACAAACTCTGCACGGAAAGTCCAAACTCAGCTTTTATTGTTTCGGGCGATTTTAATCCAACGAGTAATGGCTTTCAACAGAGTCGATTAAATAGAGACCGCAGTTTTAAACATGTTGTGAAAGTTCAGACACGGAATAATAATATACTCGATCGAATTGATTTTTACAAGTATCGCGGACTTTTATACGAATCCTGAGATCTTAGCACCCCTATCAACATCAGATCATAACATAGTGTTGTGGAAATCGAGAACTGACGCTTCCGTATAGTAAAGGCTGGAAATATAGTGAGGCTAAAAGTGAGAGATGTCAACCATACAAATACGGAACAGTTTGGGTCTTTTTTAGAGAACTATGACTGGAGTGCAGTTTTCTCCAACAAAGGACTCGATGAGAAAGTTGATGCTTTTCTAGTACTGAAGTGATTACTAACGAGTTTTTTCCCCGAAGAAATAATAAAAAAGCATACCAACGATAAACCCTTTATGATGCGAAAGATTAAAACCCGGATGGATACGAGAAATAAAGCTTTTAAAAACAATAAAACCGCCGAGCTTTTCATATCATTATTCCATTAACTTAATTACGTAGCCGTAGGCAAGTTTCAGCTAAGATAAAGAAGGCGAAGCTGCAGTTTTATGATAAAAAGATACGACCAAAGTATAGTTCATGCCCAAAAGCATGCATGGTGGAAGCAAGTTAAAAGATTAATTGGATCACGGAAAAACGCTGTGACTTCAGTAGACCCCGAGACAAATCTCCAAATGAACGATAAACAATCGGGCAGATTCATGATGTTAATGTTAACAAGGCACCTGAACCAAATTATCCACTTTTGAAGATTCTGAAAATGTTTCCGAAATTGTTTGCAGTTCCTCTTGCTGAAATTCAAACAAAGAAAATCCCCGAAACTTGGAAAAAAATATAAAGTAACTGGAATTCCTAAGACCATACCATGCACAATTGTTGAGAACCTTAGACCGATTGCATTGACCAGTGTTTTATCGAAAGTTCAGGAATCTATTGCCAACAAGTGGATTAATGAAGATATAAATGGGAAAATTTCCAATTCCCAATATGGAGGGCTCCCAAGATCTTCAGCATTGTGTGCCCTTCCTAACTTGCTCTGCAACTGGTACAGAGCTATGGACGGCCACAAAGAGTAATACGAATAATCTTTCTTGACTTTAGGAAAGCGTTCGACCTAATTGACCATAATATATTGCTACGAAATATGAAAGAGATGGGAATTAGATTGGCCTTAATTCATTGGTTTGGAACATATCTCAATAAAAGATCTCATTTTACTAAATTCGGGAATCGGGAATGATACATCTTATTATGCATATATTAATGGAGAGTGCCACAAGGAAGCAAACTCGGATAAATTGCCTTTGTATACAATAATAAAGATTGATAAACTACCCTCTGTCATAAAAGAAGAAATATGTCCACCAACAATTGAAGCCAATGTTATACTTGAACAGGATACAATAATGTTTATGGATGACATTACATTGTACGAGGTACTAGATGTCAGCCACCATATTTTTGGCATGCAACTGGGTGGTTCAGAGAGTAAGTTAAGAGCGTCTTAAGGTTTACTGAGGAAGATAGGATGGAGTTAAATCAAACGAAATGTAAAGAAATGACAATTGACTTTCGGGAAAATGTAACTGTTATTCCACCGCTAGAAAAGGGTTGAATGTTACAAATTACTTGGATTATGGGTCGATGACGATTTGAAGTGGTCTACTAACACATGCTATATTGTTAAAAAAAACGGTAAAAAGATTGTAGGCTACTTTCTGAAGATATTAAAAGCGGTTATAATGCACCCAAGCAGGATCTAAAAGCCTTTTACACTGCTGTCATAAGATCGACGCTCGAATACTGTACTCAAATCTGGCATGGAAAATTAACCAAGGAACAGTCTATTGATATAGAACTACAATCCTGTGCAAACATTTTTGGAGAATGCATTTATCCGCAGTTTCTCAGTGATATATGAACTGTTCTTCCCCCCTCCCCCCATATCAATGTTGAAAATTGTTATTTTTGTGTTGCACAAGGTAGTGCTGCCAAGATAATCAACATTGCTAGTGGGGGGAGGGGAAAGAAGACAGGGAATTGACAGAAATAATGTTTTCCAAAACATTTTTGCACAGGATTGTAGTTCGGAAGAAGGGGTAGGCCTTTCCCGATTGCGCTGAGCACTTTTTGAGCACTTTTTTTTGTTTGGAGCACCATTTTGCATGTTGAGCAACGTTGAGCACTTTTTCGCACTTTGGGCAACATTTGAGCAATATTTCACATTTCGAGCGAATTTTGAGCAACAAAAAGTCAGCGATTATAGAATTCGATTCGTACCTCGATTAACTAAACATACAGTTCGGAGTAAGGCCTTTAAAAATTGACGGGTATTATACTATTATTTTATATATAATTTAGGTATAACTCCAAAAGAAAAGCCGTACAGCTCAATGACATTACAGTTAAAAAATTAGAACGCTGACTTTTTCGAGTTCTCTTTTTTTTGTCGTAAACAACTCCATATACGGAAGTTTGTTCCATATATGGAGAAAGACGTGGAAACAGATTTTAAAAAATGCTGATTTTAAAAAATTTACGAAAATCTTAGAGGTAACTGTTCACAATTTTAGCACTTTTTGAGCACTATTTGGAGATTTTGAGCACTTTTTGAGCACTTTTTAGCCATTTTTGCCAGCACTTTTTTAGGATTTTACCAGCGCAATCGGGAAAGGCCTGAGCAGGGGCGAAACTTGAGGGGGTATGGGGGTGTGACACCCCCCAAAGTACGAGTCATCTGGATTGGCAGCTAGGGCAATCAACGATTTTAAATGATAGAATATAGAGTTATTAAGTAACTTACAGAGTTACAGGGCTTCCAGAGAGAATTGAATAGAATTTATAGACCTAAATTACACAGATATTGGTCCACAGGTCGACAGGGTTTCATCCATGTTTTATCAGGAATTTGTCCGGAAAAAAAATTTTGACCCTTAATTTAACTGGTTTTTGTCCGGAAAAAGTTTTTCGACCCTTTTTTGAATGTCTGAAAATTTTTTTTTCAACCTCCTCTTCCCCCCCCCCCCCGCCCTGGTCTGACATATGAAGAAGCATTACTGGACTGATGTAACCTTAAAACATTAGAAACTCGTAGGGAAGAGATGTGTGGAAAACCTTATAAAAAATAATGGTAGACCCTAGACATGGATTACATAGTTTATTGCCAGAAACAGTTAATCAGATAAGACCACTCTCCTCCGCAGAGACTTACGAATTTTTAGTAAAATTACGTAATATTACGGGGGGAGGGACAAATTACGCAAGGTATTATGGGAAGACGGAAGCTACGTTTGTAAACCATCGATCTCACTCCCCCCCCGTCGCGCACCACTAAATGTCCTCTACTATCCCTACATTATCCCTACAAATCCTATAATAATTCAGACTCTGCGGAGGAGAGTGAGATAAGACAGAGACAAACTAGATCAAATGGAGAAAAACTGTATAATTTTAGATATCGAAACGAACGATTTAAAAATAGCCCTATTGTCTTATTGAGTATTGTGCATGGGATTGAAAGTTTTAACAGAAGGCTTGAGTTGAAGTAAATTTGTCGATCCCTTAGTTAGAATTCTTATAAATTTTAAATGGAATTCACATTGTAAATTAGTATATACTATTTTTATGGAAGATTAAAAAAGATTAACACGCAAGTACTCAATAAATCAATGAGACGCACATGTTTAATATATCTGTCACCTGCATGTGATTGCCCTTTAACCCCTGGTGTTGGCAACAACTGCATTTCTCGAATCGATTCCGTATGCTTTGGCCACAGTGCTCACCAGTCGCTGGCTCGCTGCGAGTAATAACTGTGCTTTATATAATTTGTACTATTTAGTTCTATTTGCTCTTAATGCCCGCAGCAATCCCTACCTTGCAGGAAGTGGTTTGTTTTGTCGAACTTGCCCGCCTCAAATGTCCATGTTTATAATAATCAACACGGGATTAAATCATCTCGCAGCAAAGCGAGATAGCTCGGTTGCCTGTTATGTAAATGCTAATGCCAAACTCCACACTTCTTATTTTCGTCTTATATAAGGTATACACAAAATGCCTTCGCTTGGCACTTTACGATCCAGTTCAAAACAAAATCAAAAGAGTAACAGCGACCCACTGCAAACAGCTCATAGATTAGAAACGAACAACATATAGATTGCAGACTTTATATACTAGCTTTATATGCTAGCTTTATATACTAGCTTTATATACTAGCTTCCCGAGGGCCGAGACTTTATATACTAGCTAATTCCCGATGAAGTGCTTTCGCTCGAAACGTGGTATAGAGTACAGTGCATTCCATGTATAAAACGATACGCCAGATTTTAATACGCCATGGAAAACTTGTGCTAGGAAGACTTGAGACAAAAAGTCTTTGGAATACCCTAAATATGCTTGTAATAAATATGCTTTGTACTGGGAAACCCCGCAACATCGTTATAGCATTCTGATTGGTTCGATCCCTCCGATCCCTTATATGTGCTTTCGGCCAATCAGCAAAGACTTTACGAGAGGTGCTATACTTCTGTTTTTCTGGCTTACTGCGCGGAAATATAAATGGCACCGTGTCTGATTTTAGCTTTGGCCTTTTTTGGTAGCCAGGCACAAGATCGAGCGTTCTTTCGAAGCAGTCTGGTGTAAAATGCGCCGAACAAACACATGAATTATTTATATCGCGTGGGTTTACTCTGCGAATTCTCGCCAACAACGCTTCTCGCAAACCTTTTTCTTTTGGAATTCTGTGGTAGCTGATTCGCACAGTTTTCCGTGAGTTGTTAGTACACTCAGGAACCATGCAATGTGGCATCTTCGGTTACAAATATTTAAAAGGAAACTCTAAAGACTAAAGCTTGATTATACAATTTGTTTCGAAGCAAATCTGATTAAATACAATTTGTTTCTATCACACATTTACGTCACGGCACTCATAGGACCACCCGCGGATTCAACAAACATGGCGGCGATAATGGACGAAAAATCAGTGAAACAAAGTTAAATTTCTCGCAAACGAAAAAGAATTGAGGCGAACAAATATTCATTCCAAGGTAGGCTCATATATAGCTTTCTTATGAGCGACACTTGTTCTGGGGGTGGAGTGTCCCTTTAACAAATATTGCTGCCCAGAAAAATGATGGCTGAGAAGCAAGTGCCCTTCTGAAATGGCTGCCCCCGCCGCTTCACATTGCTTCCGGCGCCCCTGATTAGCATGCATTTAAAATAACAACACAAAAATTTTAAAATTCCAGATCAAGAATCAAAATTTCCTTCGGGGGATGCAAAGGTTTGAAAGACTTGAAGTATAATCTGTTGAATTTAATTTTGTGCTGTATCGAAGTTTAAGAAAATCGAGATAAAATTCTAGTGTTTGGACACTCAGCGAACAATGCTGACAAATATAGAAAATACAACAAACTAACGGACGGAAATTGACCATTTATAATTCACAATTTAATAAATTGACAATCTGCTTATATGTCCCGACCCCTCGCGATAAAGCATTTTCTTTACATGTAATGTGTTTAACTTCGTCTTACTTGGCCAGTTAACTTTTAATTACTTTAAAATGCACCTTTCGTATAACCAGTTGTGTTTATATTTAATACTTTGTCTTTGTAAATAAATATACGCCATATACATGTACGCCAAGAACTGAGGGTCTCCCAGGGGGGTACTTGTTCCCGTGTTCCCTTCAAAATTTTCGCTTTGTTCCCTTGTCAGTCCCTTCCAAAATTTAACCATGCTCCCTTGTTCCCCTTTATAAATTAAATTTTGTTTCGTTATTCAGAAAATTTGACAGTTTATCCTCGCTATCATCCATTATATTAATACATACGTTCACTTTAACAAAATTAAACAGAAAAATACAATCACAAGCCTGCAGATGTTGCTCATTTGAAAAATACAATACTGAAGAAGACTATAATGTTTAATAGTTATTTGACTTCGTGGAAGTATTGACAGTATTACTATTACATAACAAAAAATAGATCTAATGAACAGCATTGCATTTATAGTTTCTTCAATTGTTCCAACGATTAAAGTACTAAAGTATCACCTTTACTAATCATAATATACAAAATCGTCAGTAGCCTATGTGGTGTCTTTCTTGCACGTCTTGGCTTCGTATCTGTTGCACTTTCTTGGTCGATATCCTGGCGCTCTCTAATTTCTCTCGCCTCGATCTTCAATCGTCACAGCATCAACACATTCAATCATTCTCGACTGCTATCTTAGAAACTCATTCTCTGTCAGTTCAAGGTTGCTATCTCCTGCAAACGGTTTCCACTTGAGAACCAGGTATTTCTTTCGCATTGACCTTGACAACTCCTTCTTCTGTAAATATAAGTGGATTGAAAGGGTCACCTTCAAAAATGGTGGCTCTTGCTTTCTTTGTTGAAACACTAACGTTTTCTTGTAGATGGTAGATCATCATCGGCCCACAATTGGCGTACGAGGCAAGAAAAACAACGTCCCCAGTGGAATGAAGAATGTTGTGCGTGTTGGCATGGTGTGTGTCTGTTTGGGTACCATTTTCTGTAATTTTCGAGAATTCCAAAGGCTCGCTAGCTGGCTGTGCCAGGGCATAGAGATTTATCGGCAGAGTATCCGGATTGTCTTTAGTGCTCCTGTTCTGCACGGTATTCTGTGGGACACTTTCACCATACTTTATGCGCCAGTCTCTCATTTGCTGCACTTGTGACTTTGTCAACTGTGCTGCTGAAGGTGGGGCCATCTTTGGTAGAGTTGAATACTTCAAGTCAGATTTGACTTGAAGTATTCAAGTGCTCCTTCATTGCTCGACTGAAGTGAAAGTCGAACTGCAACTGCCTTGGCATATCACATGCCCTGCCCTTATCTCGGAGAAACAATTCTCGACTACCAGCGTCAAACGGCTTTAAGTTTGAACAACTTCAAAAGCTGTGGATCATACTTTTGAAGCAGACCTCGCATTTCTCCCAAAGATTCTTGTTTCGTCTTCCACAACGACTGAAGAAACGTTTCCTTGCGGACCTTGGCTCTGGGCATTTGTTCTAAGGAAGGCTTTGACTTGTTCTATGTATGCACTGACAATCGAAATCATATACCTCTTTGATTCTGGTGATTGCTACGTCGATTGTGAAGGGCGTTGCCGTTGGTATCTGCTTTTTCAGGTGCAAGCAAAATGTGACCGAGAAAAGTCATGATGGCTGCTCAAAAATCTGACTAGAGGAGAAACTTCACTTATCATCCTCAAGCAGCCCGTAGAACAGTCTACCACAAGTACACTAGCTGGTTGAACAAATTGGAGAAAACGATATATTATGCCCATTTTTCATCTACAATACATTAGGCCATTGTACCACTTGTATATATTCTAAGAAAGGGGCTTTGTTCCCCTGTTCTCCAATATATTCCGTGTTCCCTTGTTCCCTAATTTTGTTTTCCTTTGTTCCCGTGTTCCCATTGTAAAATTTACAGTGTTCCCTTGTTCCCCCAAAACCCCTGGGAGACCCTCAGAACTGAGCTTGTACACCGGACTTGTTGAGCAATGATCATCGTTTAGCATTGTTCGCACTCAAAACAAATCTCTTCATCGAGAAATATATGCAATATATTTCTGGTGTATTGTTTTTCAGATTGTATTTCAAGTCTTTCAAACCTTTGTATGCCCCGAAGGAAATCTTGATTCTTGATCTGGAATTTTCAAATTTTTGTGTTGTTATTTTAAATGCATGCTAATTATTAATTAACCAATGAAATAGCTTCATTTGTCATAAATTATTCAAATAAAGCACTGTCCAATCAGAGGCCGGTCCCCAAATCTGGGAACTATCCACGTGACCTGAACAAGGATTATGCATTCAACTCACAAACGTTCTTTCGCGCGCTTCGTCGAGAGTAACGGCTACGTTTGTGGTTGAATTTTACCTTAAAGGGATACGGCAATATATTTTTTTATTATTTCATTTGGACGAACTTTTAAAATTATATGTTAATCTCTTTTACAGATTTTGCGTAACTTCATTATTTCTTGAGATATTTGAACAGAAAAAATCACAAATCAGCGAGCTTTCCGCCATCTTGGATTTTGGCGGATATGCATGTGACATCATAAGCAGGGTCACGCAAGAATTTTATCCATAGATCAATTGACCATTTGCGTAATAGACAAAATTTTGATCTAGACAAGGCTGGACAAAAATTTTACCAGAGCTTGAAAGAGCATCACAAAATTAGTAATATTCCAAAGTTTCGTTGCGAAACGTTGTAAAATGCGGATAATATAGCCTTGCGAAATTTGCAATTTTCAGTCATTTTAGATTACAAACGGAAAATTGACAGCCTCAAAGCGTATCGGGCTGTCAATTTCCCGTTTGTAATCTAAAATGACTGAAAATTGCAAACTTCGCAAGGCTATATTATCCGCATTTTACAACATTTTGCAACGAAACTTTGCAATATTACTAATTTTGTGATGCTCTTTCAAGCTGTGATGAAATTTTTGTCTAGACCAAAATTTAGTCTATTACGCAAATGGTCAATTGGTTATTATGAGCCCAAAGTCATATACTTCCGTAACTATTTGAAATAAAAAACTGTCTGACGACTTTTCAAACAAGACATAATGTTATTTGGTCATTTAGATGTAGTTTTATATGGCTAAACCTGCTTATGACGTTACTAAAATCACCGATAATGAGATAAAAATTAATCCAAGATGGCGGACAGCAAACTAGTTTAAGTCAAAATATTTCAAGAAATAATAAAGTTACGCAAAATCGGTAAAGGAGATTAACATATAATTTTAAAAGTTCTTTAAAATGAAATAATAAAAAAAATTATTATACGGCAAGCATTTGTTTTGACGAATCGCGCAATTTGATTGGCTGCTGACGAGGCAGGATTTTCCCGTATTGCCCACGGGCAATTAGTGATGGGCGATACCACCAGTATCGATTCGATAAGATACCGATTACTTTTTCGTAAAAGTATCGAGGTATCGATTACCCAAACGATTACTACGACGACGATTGTATTTCAGAATTTTCTGCCATTTTCCCGCCCTTTTCATAATTTATTCTGTCGACGAGGTCGGGAATATTAATCAGGAAAGTGGATTTTGGATAGAATGTCAAATAAAGTAAAGAAATTTTGATGAAATTGGTAAGTGCAGCAAAATACAAAAAAGTACATAAATTTTATTAGAAATAGCCATGAAAACGATAACACAACTACAGAATTATCAGTGAATGTCTCAGTTTTAATTAAAAGTAATCAAAACACTTTTTCGATACCGTGCAGTATCGATTACTTCCGATACCGTGCAGTATCGATTACTTCCATTACACCCTGTAGGCAGGCGAAAATTGAAGCCTGATCGCAGACGCAGTTTACGTGCGGCGGCCATATTGGTCGTTCCCACGGAGCGTGATAATTTGTATATTTTGTATTGCGGAAATGGACAAAGTTGACAATAAATCCTCTTTTATGCAGTCAATTTTGGTTTTTCAAGTGTGCAACTTGTTGTAAATGATGCCAGATCGTTGGAGCTTCATATTGTGATTAACGGGTAGGCAGAATTTTTTTCGAAAATATCAATATTTGTCGACCCGTGTGAAGGGCGCCCATAGGACAAACCCTATGGACAAACCATCATTGTTGATGTATATATAAATATAGTTCCACCAATTCCAAATAAAACATTTTGAGCTATCGCCATTGCTTGATGGCAAAATTGTGAATGTATTTGCATATTCTTTTGTAAAAGACATATTTTAGTTACAGTTTATCAATGGCAAAAATAGACTTAAAATCTTAAATAGTCAATATATAAAACATTGACACCAAAAATGGTTCTTATACTCCTTACTATTTGTATATTTATTACATACATACAACATATCATATATTATTTTATAGTTCCATGGAATCACATCAAGATTAAAATGTGTTAGAAGCTAGAGAAGAATAATTGCAACTTAATATATTCGCAGGCGATATAACATAATTGCTATTGCTTTATGTAAATGTAGTTGATAATCAAACTTTCTAAAACCTTCAATTGTATGAATGCTTCAAACTATCTTTAATATTTGATGTTAAGAAATATTTCTTTCTGTTGAGTCCTAGACCTTTTGTTTTTAATTCAAGCAATCAAACTGCCAAATTACTGTAATTATTAACAGCATAGGTCATTGATAATCAGTTGAATTTTAGAACTGTTTTGGGAAACCTTTACTTCTCGCATTATTGTATATTGTAAGGTCAATGGGATAAACTGCTTGAAGCACAGTAGATTTTATAATCTTAAATATAGTTGCACTCACTATTGTATAA